AGCTACATAAAATATATTTGCGCGCATGTGAATTAGCGTGTCCCGCGCAAAAGAGCCGAGTAGAAGAGAGAAAAACGAACAGCAAAGACAGACGTAATAAGTGCCAGAGAAGAGACAGAAATAAAATAAGACAGTGAAGATATATAGCCGCTCGACAGGGGTGGGGGGAATTGGAATCTTCCGTTTAAGATTTAACCTTTGAGAGAGTGTCACGGTCGACTCACAACTTCCGCTCGATCTTTCGTTCAAGTATTTGTTGGGAAATTCTATCGCTGAGTCGAGCTGCTTTGGTGTCGCCGCACCGAACATTTGGCAGCAAGGCTTTCAAATTTTCATTACGACTGTCAGCAAAAAGAAGGACAATTCATTGCGGTCAATAAGTATGAATGAAGTATATCGGACAAAGTGTACATCATACTTATTACGCAGGTTCTCTAAATAATAACAAAGTTGCGCAAGTGAGTTTTGTGCATTGAGTCACCGCGAGGATGAGAAAAAGTTGCCAAGAATGGCGGTAAGCGACGTCGTCGGTCGAAGAAGAAGAAGAAGAAGAAGAAGAAGAAGAAGAAGAAGAAGAAGAAGAAGAAGAAACAATCTTCGGCTCGCTGACCTCGCATCATCAACACTCGAGTTTTCCAGTTACACTATCGGCCATTTCCTCCTCCAACTTTTCCATTATTTGCGTTTTCTGCAGCACGAGGCTCGAAACAAGGAAATGCCTGCAGATTGTTGTATCATTCTCTCGCGTGGCGTCTACACTCGGCGATATGGATTTATTTGTCGAAGCGGTATTTTCATTCTTTTTCGGATAGAGATCTTTGCTGACCTTATAGCATACAATGAACAAGTTAAGCTCGACACGTTGCAGACACGTGATTATTGTTTCGATCGGATGAAAAATATTATAATCATCGTGGATTATGCTTACATAATGGATGTATCATTGCCTTATTGGTATTAGATGTCATTATTAGCAAGCCCTCATTGCAACATGCAAATAATTGTCTTGTCGTTAGGTCAGAAATAGAAAAAATAAATCAAAACGTTTACTTCCTTTCCATACGGCTGCTACTTATCGCGCGCCATTTCAATCAAACAAATGGCGATAAAGAATGGAATCGTTTTTTTTCAATTACTAAATTTATTGAGCCCCATTAGATTATCTGTCAGCAGGAAATCAGTTTTTGTTTCAGAAACAATGGAAAACTATGAACGGAATGAAAGCCGCATAAATCATAAAGCTGATAGGAGGCGTTACACTACGCGACTGCTTTAGTTTCACGTACATATTACGTATAGCAAACCGAAAAGAGAATGGTTCGTTTACCTCAGCGACACGTCCGAGCTCTCGCAAAGTCATGAATCAAGTTATCACACAACAAATTCGAGGTGCGTCACACTGGTGCACGCTCAGCGCGTAATATCGTCAATAAACTGCAATACGTTATACCGTTATCGGCTTTTTTCGCGAATCTTATCGCCAGAAGGCACATTCGCCGCACGCCATATAATAGCCGCAGCGGAAATTATCTGGGCTCGCAGATAAAAAATTGTTAAATGTGCATGGTGACGAGAGTAACCCTAGTCTGCGAACGAAATAATAGACAAATCCTCTTTACTCTTAATCTACGCATCCGCACGGCATCCCGTGTGCCTGTGTGTGGGCACAATTTACAGCTCCGCCTGCCTGGGAGAGGCAGCGCGCGATCGGATAAGAAAGTGCGAGGGGGAAGACGGCCAGCCAAAAGGATACCCCATATTAAGATGCTCGACAATCTCTGCTTATCTCGTACTGCCAACGTCTCCTTTCACCGCAGACATATATTTTTTCTTGATCAACTTTTTCGGGACTCAAAAATTGCGTATTATCGTGCTGGTCCAACTTGATTTTTTATACTCGAAGTGCGTTTTTAGCAAGTTCCGTTTTTCTACGGATGTTCAAGCACGTAATTTGGCGATCTCGCCTTCTTAACGACATTTGGCAAGCACGAAACTCCTTATCGTTAAAAGTATCCGCGCGAGCTTATGCTCATAACGAAAATAAAGTTGAATTTTTTGTCGAGCAAAGAGACATCTCTCTCGTTATCTCTCTCGATATTGTTTGATTTCTTTTTTCCCTCGCTTTTTCTTTTCGACGCGCAGACAAAAACACTTGCAAGATGTTCTATTTTGCAATCTCGAAAGAAGAAAAAGAGAGCGAGATAAAACCCTTCGTTTAAATCAGGAAAAGCTTTCATCAAATGCAAATACATGTCACCGCATGATGTAAGATAAGAAAATTTTTTTTTTTTCCCAAGTATCTTATATATTCATAATGAAGTCTTGAAAAATTATATTTACGCGAAGTCGCGGGTGCAATGTGCAAAGAGCACTACCAGTCGCGTGAACGCGATAAAAAGCTCGTAAGGCGGCGCGCAAAACTTTTGCACGCGGTTTATTATTAAACGGCTGGTCCGCGGCTCTAGACGGAGCTGGACGGGGTGACGCTTCGCATATCCTTAAGCGCAATTTCTTTTGTATAAGCAGCGCCGAGCTTTATTTAGAAACTGCACACTAGTTTTATTTGTCGAGCTTGATTACGGTACGCTCATAAAGACACTCGTGATGATTTCTTTTCTCCGGCACAGTCTATGAGAAGATTAATATCGAGAAATAAAAGACTTTAAAATCGGTCTTACACAAATACTTTAAGACGCATGAAAAAGCAATATCTAAATATAAACTGACATGTTGGACAGTCACCTCCAAATACAAACATTAACACATTACTCAAAGACCAAAAACGCCGAAAAATATTGATTGGGCAAGTTGTGACGTAACGTACGGGCAAAGGACAGCCGGAGCGTCCACACCCGAAGTCCGTGCGACGAGCACACTCGTAAAAGAAATCGATATCGATGATCACTTTCAGGGACCAGTGACGGCCCGAAAAATCAACACCTTGAAAAAAGCGAGTGCACCAGATGACGGCCAGTGAAAAAAAGACGCTCGCCGTGAAAGAAAGCAGCAGCACGAAGGAAGACAAGCGGCTGCTGAAAGACTAAGGACGGCTGAAGGTGACTCGAAGTGAGCGCAGCGCGAATGTCCGCACGCTCCAATTTTTAGGTCGTGCGTGCGCGTTTCAAGCTCGCCGAGCCTCGCGTTTCGTTCGCGAGGACGTTCTCGCCGCGCAGTAGCGACCCTCGTTTCTACGCGGTGGCTGCAACCCCACTCCTCCCCCCCCCCTCCCCCGCCCATTATGGAGAACGCCGGCAAAGCGCGCACGCCACGTATACGAGCGCGTGCTCTTACCTGGGTCTCGCGATGGGGCCAAACGAAAAAGCCATCGTCGTCACACGGAACAGGTCTCACGGCGCGCCGTCGACGTCGCGCACCTTCAAGTGATGGCCATCGCCAGCTCGGCAAGTAAAAGCGACCGAGCGCAACGGACTAGAACCTACGGCAGCCACGGTATAATCAGCGCCACGCGCGCTCGCGACACACTGAGACGCGGCGACGGATTCTCCTGCACTGGTCGCGCCCTTGCACATGCCTCGCGACGTTATAATATGATTCGCGAGCGAGCGCGACGCGATGCACACGGAGACGTCTCGCCTTTACAATGCCGGCCAAGGCTTTGCGCGCTTTACGCTTCGGCGCTGCAACTTCTTTTTCTTCCGGTTCGCCGCGATTTTTGCGTCGCCGGGGAAAGCTGCGCGCTCGCGTCTGATTTTTACTTGTTTTTCCACTTGCGCGTCGCGACTGGTTGGATCGGTTATGGCTATACGTCGCCGTCTAGACCGCTAAAGATTATTTCACTTTTTTTTCTTCTAGAAGATTTTGATCTACTTACAACGAGGGCTTAACTGCTTGCGGCGATCTACCTGATTATTATAACATTTTCCTTGCGCCGAAGATAACGTCAATAAATCAAGATTAGAGATGATGTTACCTTGTTATTCACGCTGATAATAGTTAATTTCACTATCGTCGGTTTCAATGTCATTCAAAAAAAGCTTTTAGAAATAGAACACGGTTGATCGAGTGTAGAGCGTGTTCACGTTGCAAGTCGTATACACGGTTCATTGAACCTATATACGAGGCAGCGCACGCGAGAGACCGGCTAACTCGTCGGTTGTAAGTCTCAGACGGTGAACCGATAAAACCGGCAGGCTGTACAGCGACGTGTTAATAAAAATGCACTACATGTACGTGTTTTTTTTGGACGTTGATAAGTGCAGGACGTGTCGTCCGTTCACGTTGGCATCACATTTTTTCTTCACAATTATGACATTGCAATATTTTTTACAATAGTTTACGAACTAAGCGAGTACCTCAAAAATTCCCATAGGCATTGTGGACTCGAAATGCTGCTGCGCGAGCGTTTTCTCAACAAAGCCATCGAATCTGTTCTTGGACTCACGTATGCCTATATATCATTCGGCGCTTTTCACTCGGAGCATCAGCCGTGCGCACGATTCATTCATTGTTCTCGCAGTGCGTAACGAGCTTCGCGAATGATATACAACACCAGTAAAATATCTAATTTTAGGAATGTTGCTGTTGCGAAAAGGCATAATTTCAACTGAAAAGACGAAGACATTCGTATCACGAGTCACGCGACGTAACGTCGTCAGTGTTTACTTAGTTTATGCCGTTGGCTCAATTCTATCGCTTAATTTAAATGCTCGCGCAAGCCTATATAAACAATAACACACCTCGCGTACGTACTTTTTGCTGTATTTACATTTGCAACGACGCGCACTCGGGACCCCGAAAAACCGATCAAAGTTTTTATATAGGCTAGTTGTCATCAATAATTCATGCCTTCGGAAAAGGGGGACTTTCTACTTGCCTCGTCTGCTTTTTGGTAAACGGAGACGACGAGGACGCGAGCAGAGAAACGAAAGCTGTCGAAAGCGCGCCGCAAAAATGCACACCTCGTCGTTTTCTCTCGCTGCGCACTAATAACACCAATCGCACTCGCATACATACGTGTACGTATGACAATTGGTACTTACAGAGTCGTGCTAGAGTTCCCTGCAGGAACGCTCGTAAAGCGCAAAACCGACGTCGGCTATCCGCGGAGACGACAGAGTGTACGTAGCTGCTACGACGGTGGCTATCTTAACATAGAGCTGGGGCTGCATGCATTTCTTGTACTACCGAAATGCACGTGGAGGAGGAAAAGCGAAGCGTGGACAATGCAGCCGGCCCCGCGCTCCCTCTCTCGCCCTCTCTCTCTCCCTCTCTCTCTCTCTCTCTCTCTCTCTGCCACTCGCCCTTTGGCTGCACGCCACGAACTGGCGACTACACACAAACACCGAGCGGCGCTCGCACCACTGCCGAAGCTCTCCGCTTATCTCCCTACTCCCAAACTCTTGCGCTCGGCTCTCCTTCTTCCCCCGCTAGACAGCTTCCACGCAACTACCATTGGTTTCTCACTAATCTGCATGTACACACGCATGTATAGTTTTATTTTCTCTCTCCCTCTCTTTCGCCTGCCTACCTGTGGCTCGACTTTTATTTTAAGCATTTCCGATACTAAGGCCGATCGGCTTCTCGTTTTTCGTCAGCCGCGCGAGCGACCGGTCTTGTTCTCCGGGTTGCACTCGTGTGGGCGCTGCATGCGTAAAATTAACATTTATTCATGAAACTATCGACAGCCATAGTTTCTCTTTGGAGTATTCGATTGTTCACATTGACGAGGAAAAATATCTCGTAGCGCAGTGTTATCGTAACGTTCGATGAAATTTCATCGCGATCCAAATTCGCTTTCAACTTTTAAAAATGCATACGCTGCGATACTGCAGCACATTCCTACTGTAAAATCGCTGGCAAATCCTGCAGCAAACGCGAGTGGCACGTTGACAAATAAAAACCAAATGCCGCATAACTATAGAACCGTAGAGCTAGAAAGCTTTAACATAGAGATAAAAATACATTTCTTTCCTCAACCCTAAATCGAGCAGGTCAAAAAATGATCAAGCTCCCCCTCTCTCGGCTTTATTTTTAGATTTTCTTGTCACGACTCGATATCATTAAAAAAATGCATCATTATCGAATCGGAGCATTGCGCGACTTACAGCCTCAATTCTTCTGTTAAACTGCAACACGGGATCAACAAAACAAGCGTAAATTTCCGTGGGCGTAGTAAAAAAGTCTAATTCTCTCCCTCTCTCCCCGCTGATAATGATGCCGCGCCGTGGTGTGCGTTTCCTTGACTGAATTTTTCGAAGGGTGCAAATGTTGAAGTATGTAATCGAGCCAACTGGCGCCGTCGTCGTCGACGCTTGAAGAGCGGAGGAAGAACACATGAGAAAGAGACAAGCGAGAGAAAACCGGCCTCGTGCGCTTCACGTGATCAGCTTTCGACGACCAATGAGAACGCGCCGGCGAACACGTGGATTTCGGAATGCGAAGCATACGTAACACAAACACACACTCGCACACACGCCCGTCGGAGAAAGACTCTCTCGCAGCGCAAAGAGCGCGACGTCGCGCATGTAACGCCGGATAACTGAGCGCTTTTCAGAGCCCTTGCAAGGCCCTTCGGACCATACCACATCCCCATGGGGTCGCTCTCCCTCTCTCTCTCTCTCTCTCTCTCTCTCTCTCTCTCTCTCTCTCTCTGCGATATTCCAGCACAGACTCTTAGTAGTGGATTGCTGCAGGTTCTAGGCATCCGATTTATTCTTCACGCTTACGCCAACTGAAGATATGCATCAAAGCGCTTTATCCAATTATCGTTTACTTTATTTGTTTATTCATTTGTTTGCTGAGAAACTTGTGGAGAAACAAGGAAACTTTTACTCCAATTTATGTAATCATTGTAAAGCTCGAGAGAATTTGTGATATGATTTATATTTCTGCAACTGTAAGTTACAATATGAAAGATAAATAAAGCGTTCAACAATTTTTAATCTTTTGCACATGAAAATTTGTTAATATTGACGTTAATGGTAAATGTATTCTTTATAATTGTGACATTATAGTGAACTGTTTTTGGTTTCTTTGCAAGGATAGGAATAATACTAGAGCAGTATATAATTGAAGACATAATGATCGAATGCAGATATAACTCGTCGGCGATGAGTGAACAAATCATAGACTGATAATGCACTTTTCATAAAAACAATTATCATTGAATATTAACACGAGGTCAGACGAAGCAAAAAAAAAATACAACAGTGGCGGCAGGCTGATTCCGATGAAATAATCGGTGGCGCGTAGTCGAAAATTAAAGTTTTTCTATTACAAAGCTGAATGAAAATATTTTTATGACGATGAATCGATGATGATGAGTATATCTAGTATACTTAATTAAAAATAACGTTTTGGAAATAGACCGAGACGCTGGAAATGGGCACTTGACTATTTTTAGATTATTGCATTATTGATGATATGTTAATTGAAACACATTAGTTTTAAAAGGAAAAAAATTCTTGAAAATGAAGATACGGGTCTATCGCAAGGAATGTTTATTCAATTTGTATAATTTTTACAGAATCATTTAATCAAATCTATGTCACAAATCGTGAACATTCGTTCGCCACATGTTACTCATTAATTTTCTAATACAGTTATTTCTAATTGGATATTAATTGAAATAGACAATATCTATTTAATTAATCTAAAGTTCCCGAGTAACTTTGTACTCTCTTAGGAAGAAAGAAAAATAAATAAAAATTTAAATGGTACATCGTTATATTTAAATGTACACTAAAGGTTCGTGTATCATCTAAATTTTTATCATTGGTTAAAATATAAGAGGCATCGATAACTTTAAAAACATGAAATCTCATAGATAATGCTGATAAATTTATACGAGTGGCGACTTATGCAATCTACAAGTATTTTCTTAATCACACCCTTTTATGATATGATTTTTAAAACCACTGTAATCTAAACGTATACTTTGAATAAGCTAAAAGCGAATTGTACTTTCGCATTGGTACTAGAAAGCATAAGCAAGTCAACATTGTACTGTATTCTAAATCCAACTAAGTTCCAAAACTGGACGTAGTGGTTGACTAAAAGGGGTATTTTTTTGTTGATCTCAGATAGGTGATAAGTTAAATACGCTCTCAACTCACGCCAAATATTGGAGACTTTCTACCTACGAGCTATAGGACATCGGACATCGGATGTTGGACAAATACTGAGTTAAAAAACAAATTGATTGTTTGTCATATTCTTTCTAAAGGTCTTTACGTCGTCTGAAAAGACTATGCAACATTTATTTTTATTTTACGAATTAATGTTAAATAATTAATTCATTTTTACACCTCTGTGCACGTCTATCGTCTGATGTCCGATGACTCTTATGTAGAAAGTCCCTTGTGACTTACAGCCCTAGTCTTATCTATCTGTAGCCAAAGGATTGAGTACATTGTGCCAGTATTGATACGTTTGATACAACGAATTTCTGTTGATTTCTATGTCGGACCGTTTGACTCGAAATAGAAATAAAGAAGCTCGAACAGCACAAGGAATAGAAGATTTATATAGTATATTAATAATAATGGAAGAAATTTGTAAATGGATATGGGCTACTCAGATACAGTGCCGCTCACGCACTTTTACCCCCCCCCCCCCCCCCCCACGGGCAAAATCAGTCTAACTTCAAAGTTTTATATCTCTGGTAGAAATTAACGTACAGAGACGCGCGTGGGTGCGTTTGAAAGGTCTTTCGGAGAGCTTTCAAATGATATGATTCACGGTTGCCATCGATTGTTTTTTTAAATTTTGCAACAATTATGCAAAATTGAAAATTCTGAAATTTTTTTATTATTTTTGACAATTAGCCAATTTTGGAAAAAAAATCGTACGAAAATTTGAAGTACACCATTTTTTAGCTATTACCAAGCCCTATCTGAATCACTCATCAAAAATTTATTTTCGTCAAATATGACGCGCGCACGGGCATTTTTTCCTGGAAGTGACAGTTTTTTTCAACATTTTTTATCTCCGTCAAATTGTAACAATCGAAAAAAATTTATAGGAGAAAAAATGTTTGTTGTTTCACGTAGAATACTGCAATAATTTTTTTTTTGGTTTTTCGAAAAATTTTTTTTTTCGGTTTAAATTATTTTTCAAGGTCGAAAAAAAAAAAATTTTTTTTTTTATGTAATTTACAATACTTGTTATGTAGTATTATTGAATGGATGGAAAAAAATTTTTTTTTGTGGTTTCTCATCTTTTTAGCGTACCGACTGTGAGAAAAAAAAATTGAAAAAAACAATTGAAAAAAAAAGAATGAAACAAACAAATTGAAAAAAAAAGAATTTTCAATTTTGCATAATTGTTGCAAAATTTAAAAAAACAATCGATGGCAACCGTGAATCATATCATTTGAAAGCTCTCCGAAAGACCTTTCAAACGCACCCACGCGCGTCTCTGTACGTTAATTTCTACCAGAGATATAAAACTTTGAAGTTAGACTGATTTTGCCCGTGGGGGGGTAAAAGTGCGTGAGCGGCACTGTATGTCTTAATTAAGATATGTTTTAATTAACCGCATTTTTTAGATTAAAAAAAAATTTTGTTTTTATTTTCAATGTCTATCTGCAATTTGAATTGACATCTTGTCATTTGCAAATATTTTTGCTTCCTATTAATATATTTCATAAAAACAAAAGCTTTATATATCCCTATGTTGCCCACGTGCATGCTTATATTTATTTCTATTTCGCGGCACAAGAAGTTGCAGTAGTCTAGATGTCAGACTCTGAATCACTCCGTGCACAGTTTGTAGACAGCGCCACTAGTGGCCGATTTCGTAACTGTTCACTCGCCAAATACATTTTATTGAATAAAAATCAATACATTTTTTATGGTTAATTTATAACCTACAGAATAACTTTTTAACATTTTTAGATAGAAAATTACATTTTAATAATTGGAATAAATGGGTCAATAGAAAGTGTAATTTGTAACCTAGCATTATTAAGTGGAAAGCGTGTTGCACTTACCACCTTCCACCTAATATTACCGATATGTTAAATTTACAGTATGTTAGATTGAATTGTAGGAAAGATTTTTTTTCCACCCGAATATACTATTGAAAAATATCGTCCATCTAAAGTCGTTCCTTTTTTACGAAAATTCGCATAAAAATTGATAATAGCACTGAGTGAGATATAAATAGATAAACGTTGCAGTTAATTATCTTTGGCTTGTTTCAATTGGATGAAGCCAAGGAAATCATAATTAAACGTCCGTGGGTACATGGATTATGCAGCACGTTAACTTCTAATTACTGAGATCAGTATATAGCTGTCTATTCGTTGAACCCGCAGTTTTGCAGTTAA